TCATCTGTCAGCATGTCCACTTGCCGACACAATATTAATTAAACACAACATTTCCCGAAGTGTCGAAGTGAAGCCCTGGCACTGATAATGAACAGGTTTAGGAGAGTCACATCCCAACAAAATTACTTTTTAAACCAGCCTTATTAAGCAGAAAATTAGACCTAAATCACCCTACACCATCCTCATTAAAAGCCACTGATCCTTGGCTGCTTCTATGTTCTAACATCTTTAATTAGCAAACTGCTAGTCTCTCTGCCATGATAAATGCTATTAATCTTACCTTTCATTTGCTCCCCTCCCCAATATACCATTTTTCCCATTTGGAGGATTTCTCTGTGTCTAGACAGAAATCAACCTGCCTATTGCCCTTGTTGTGACAGGAAAAAAACTCAATTCTCTTGGGTTTTGGCAAGATGAGCTGTGATTAAAGTTATTTAATCTTCTGGATAACTATCATATTCTTTGCTGTCATCTGAAGGTGGCCAGAATCCTGTTAGTCTGACTTGTGTAGACCCAGTCAATCAATTGTTGAATGGTGAATCAGGTAAAGGTAAAGGTTTTCCCCTGACATTGTCCAGTCGTGTCTGACTCTGGGGTGTGGTGCACATCTCCATTTCTAAACCAAAGAGCCGGCATTGTCCATAGACTTCTCCAAGATCATGTGGCCAGCATGAACTTTATCATTACTCACACTTTTTAGAGCCTGGCAGCCTGGCTATCTGTCCAGACAGATTTGGTTGTGTACTTGTGGCATCAAACAACAGGATGATGTTCCTGGGCTATATACAGGGCCGCTCCAGATTGCTCTTCTTGTGAAAAGATATACAACATTGACTAGGAGGCACAACTTTGTCCTGGCCAGAGGAAATGTGCCCTCCACACTTTTCATGAAGTTTCTGGCACAGAAACAAAGTTTTTGCCTTCTACTCAAGTGTCACCTCCTTTTAAGGAACTTATCAATCAGGAACAAGCATCTAAAACCTGGGAACAAACTCAGATAAAAAATCCCATGATTTCCAATTGAAGGGACATACAGACATGCAAAGATGCGGATATTCACAACTGGAAATCTTAGGTTTTTGCCTTTTGTAGTAATTGCTTCCATGTTTACAGGGAATGGCATCTGGACACCCTCCTGTTTGGTGTGGAAGCTCCTGGGATAAAGGTACTGTCTGGACGGGCCCTTGGAGATTCCTAGAGAGATTTTATCTCAAGTTTTAAAAAAATGGAGTTTTGAAATGTTTATCTTGTATTTATCATTGTGTATTTTTGCATGTTAGGGGGAGTTCTGTGTAGTTTTGGAGCAAAAGTTGCCACCAGATTGTGACTTTTTTGGATGTTGGGAAGATGGGGAAGGCCTCAGGGGCCACAAAAGTGGGGTGCAGAGTCACATTTTGCCCATGGGTCACACTATGTTCAATTAATACAATTGGGACCCTCATTCTAATCAAATCTTCCCGTGTAATTTAGGAATGTTTCCCTTTAAACATCCTAGAAAGTGTTGCTTGGTGCTCTGCTGTCCAAGTCCTGAACCAGTGCCTGGTTGTGATGGTCTGGATGAGGGCGAGCAAATTGAAGTTGAATCCAGACAAGACAGAGGTCCTGCTGGTCAGTTGCAAGGCCGAACAGGGTATAGGGTCACAGTCTGTGCTGGATGGGGTTACACTTTCCTTGAAGGCACAGGTTTGCAGCTTGGGGGTCCTCCTGGACTCATCACTGAGCCTGGAATCCCAGGTTGCAGCAGTGGCCAGGGGAGCTTTCGCACAATTAAAACTTGTGCGCCAGCTGCGCCTGTACCTTGGGAAGTCAGACTTGGCCATGGTGGTCCATGCTCTCATTATATCTAGGATTGACTACTGCAATGCACTCTACGTGGGGTTGCCATTGAAGACTGCCAAGAAGCTTCCAATAGTCCAACGAGAGGCAGCCAGGTTAATAACTGGGACGGCATACAGGGAGCATACAACTGCTATGTTACGCCAGCTCCATTGGCTGCCAGTTTGCTACCAGGCACAATTCAAAGTGCCCAGGGGCGCTCTTGGGGAAAATAGACCTTGACATATGCGAGTTGTAGTTACTGGGATGTATAGTTCACCTACAATCAAAGAGCATTCTGAACTCCACCAGTGATGGAATTGAACCAAATATGGCACACAGAACTCCCACGACGAACAGAAAATATATATCAGTGATTGGTTGGGAGGGGGGGGGGCAAAATACTGTTTGCTTACCATTGAACATACAAACCCTCTGCTGTGCCAGCTCCACTGACTGCCAGTTTGCTACCGGGCACAATTCAAAGTGCTGGCTTTGGCCTATAAAGCCCTAAATGGCTGCAGCCCAATTTACCTGTCTGAACGCATCTCCCCCTATGAAGCATCGTGGAGATTAAGATCCTCCGGGGAGGCCCTGCTTTCCATCCCGCCATTGTCACAGGCACAATTGGTGGGGACGAGAGACAGGGCCTTCTCAGTGATTGCTCCCCAGTTATGGAACTCCCTTTCTGGTGAGATCAAGTCGGCCCCCTCTCTCCTGTCCTTTAGAAGGATGGTAAAAACTTGGCTGTGGGACCAAGCTTTTGGGACAGGGCAATAAAGCAGTAATAGGAAAGATGACCAGGCCAATTAGATTTGACGCTGATGACTAGGACGGTTTTAAATGGTGTATTTTAATATTGAGATAAATGTTTTTAATGTTTATGTACGTGTATATGAATTTGTGTGCCGGCATTGAATGTTTGCTGTATATATGCTGTGCTCCGCCCTGAATCCTCTTCGGGGTGAGAAGGGCAGAATATTTTTCTGCTTCCCTTGAGACTAGGACGCGGAACAATGGTTTCAAATTACAAGAAAGGAGATTCCATCTGAACATGAGGAATAACTTCCTGACTGTTCAGCAGTGGAACTCTCTGCTCCGGAGTGTAGTGGAGGTTCCTTCTTTGGAAGCTTTTAAAGAGAGGCTGAATGGCTATCTGTCAGGGGTGATTTGAATGCAATATTCCTGCTTCTTGGCAGGGGGTTGGACTGGATGGCCCATGAGGTCTCTTCCAACTCTTCGATTCTATGATTCTATGACTCTATGATAATATAAATGCTTTAAATAAATAAATAAATAAATAAGTGAAAGATGCTGAATTATGGTGCCCAGAACTATATACACAGTATTCCAGGAGAAATTTGGCCAAAGGAGAAAAGTGTGGCATGTCTGTTCCACTTTGGTGACACCTCACCTGGAATATTGTCATGTATCCTTGCAAAGCTTGAGGCATAAAAAGCTTGTGTTCTATATTTTTTGGTTTTTCATTTCAAACTGCATGCTTTGTAATAAAAAAACCATCAGCGCACAATAGAAGAACAACAACAGAAACAGGGGATGTCATGCTCTGCTTGAAACATTATACACATTTGCTTACTTTGCAGAAGATAAGCTGCTTTGGGTAATCATGGGAAAGGGCAAGGTGCCATACAGGGCAAATAGGTCCCAAGAAGGTCAGGTCTAAATGTTACCATATGATGATCAGATGGGTCATGATGTGCCCTTTCACACTAGACAAATATAGGCTGGCATCCTATTAGAGACATATGCAGGTGTAAGTCCCATTACACAGAGGATGAATTGTTTATGGCACAACAGGCATACTGCTCACAGCAGAGGAAGTGGAGATGTACATACATCTATGTGGTGTACTGCGTTTGCACATGGTACAATTTGTGCATGGTACACCCAGTTATTGAAACATGATGTGCAATGTTGCTGTTTTGCATGGTGGTTGCATACGGCTGATGAAGCAAATCACATTAAGAGGATGCTGGAATGCAGCCATAGTGTTACAATTCTACTTTAGTAACTGTAGTTTCTTCTTATGTAGTCTAAGTATTAGGTAAAGGTAAAGATTTTCCCCCGACATTAAGTCCAGTTGTGTCCAACTCTGGGGTGTGGTGCTCATCTCCATTTCTAAGCTGAAGAGCTGGCATTGCCCGTAGACACCTCTAAGATTAAGTGGCCAGCATGACTGTATGGAACTCTGTTACCTTCCTGCTGGAGCAGTACCTATTTATCTACCCACATTTGCATGTTTTTGAACTGCTAGGTTGGCAGAAGCTGGGGCTGACAGCTGAAGCTCATGCCACTCCTCAAATTTGAACCTGCAGCCTTTCAGTCAACAAGTTTAGGAGCTCAGCGGTTTAACCCACTGTGCCACCAGGGGTGAATACTAATACTAAGTATTGGAATTTAGAATTCTCATTGTCTCATAATACTGCAAACCCTTGGATGCCATAGGATGCAGCCATGACAGTTAAAGTGGATTCATGATGATATAATTCTATAGTGTTTCGGTGCCATGTAATAGTAACAGCTCAGGTAGGACCTCCAGACCTTCTCACTCTGTCCCCCTAAGCATGGCTCAATATTCAGCCTTCTGACCAGGTTTACAAACTTTCAGGTTTATGTGTGAAATTGTCCTGGTTCCTTTTAGTATTGAAAGACTTCTGGGATGTTGTAGGTTTTTTGAGGGGCTATATGGCCATGTTCTAGAGGCATTCTCTCCTGACGTTTTACCTGCATCTACGGCAAGCATCCTCAGAGGTAGTGAGGTCTTGCCATTGATGCAGGCGAAACATCAGGAGAGAATGTCTCTAGAACATGGCGATATAGCCCAAAAACCCAGTGATTCCAGCAATGAAAGCCTTCGACAACACATTGAAAGACTTCATCTTTTGAGAGGATGATTCCAAGATAGACAGAGCCAACGGTATAAGATTGAGAACCAGATGACATGCAAGTGACATGACCCAAGGATATTTTGGGGCCTTAGGGTCTTCTTCAAGCATTGCTCTTCCTCTGAGTACATCCAATGTTGTTGTTTTTTTTTGTAATGTCAGGAGCAACTTGAGAAACTGCAAGTCACTTCTGGTGTGAGAGAATTGGCCGTCTGCAAGGACGTTGCCCAGGGGACGCCCGGATGTTTTGATGGTTGGTGATTCTCCTCTAGACTAGAGCATGGCACAGTAGTTGCAAAATTGAGCTCTGGACCTTCTTTCCATAGCTGTGAAATTAAAGCACAAGCAATGATGCCAATCAATAATAGAGGATGCTGTTTTTTACCAGTTCAGACTGCTTAATGTAAGAGTTCTCAAACTTTTAAAGCAGAAGGCTGGTTCAGAGTCTTCCGAAATGTTGTGGGCCCAGAATACAGTTTGAAAACAAAAATACATGAACATGCACATTGAACATAGTAAAGGTAAAGGTTTCTCCTGACATTAAGTCTAGTTAAGTCCAACTCTGGGGGTTGGTGCTCATCTCCATTTCTAAGCAGAAGAGCCAACATTGTCCATAGACACCTCCAAGGTAATGTGGCCAGCAGGACTGCATGGAGCACCGTTACCTTCCCACCAAGGCAGTACTTATTGATCTACTCACACTTGCATGTTTTTGAACTGCTAGACTAGCAGAAGCTGGGCCTAACAACAGGAGCTCACCCTGCTTCCTGGATTCAAACCGCCAACCTTTCAGTTAGCAAGTTCAGTAGCTCAGCGGTTTAACCCGCTGCTCCACCAGGGGCCCCACACTACACATATCTTAGTGCAACCCCCCCCAAACAAAACAAAACAAAACAAAACAAAACAAACATTTATTTATTTATTTACAACATTTCTATCAACATTTCAACATTTCTACAACATGAAAGAATTTTTTTTTAAGTGAACCATTGTCACCAACATAAATTTACCCGTATTTCAGTGGAAAGTGTGGGCCTGCTTTTGGCTGGTGAGTTAATCAAGTTACTAATGATTGCTATTATTGTGTGCTTTCAAGTCATTTCAGACTTAATGTGACCCTAAGTCTAAAGTTTAGGGCGAGGGGCTCTCTAAATTGCCTTGGAGGGCTGCATCCTTTGCTTGGGGACCCCTGGCTTAATGTTTCAGGGCATTATCAAACGACTCTTTTATGCTATATTCCTCGTTGAATAATTTGCTCCAGCCATTCTCGTGAGAATGGCTGATTGTTGAGTATCTCAACTGCACACTTGCTGTATTTGTTCTTTAAGAGCTTCATCGCTGGGTTGCTGTGAGTTTTCCGGGCTGTATGGCCATGTTCCAGGAGCATTCTCTCCAGACATTTTGCTCACATCTATGGCAGGCATCCTCAGAGGTTGAGGGGTCTGTTGGAAACTAGGTAAGTGAGGCAAACTAGGCAAATAGCCACCTTGTTAATTGCTTTGCAGCTTCAAAGCCTGGCTGGTTGCTGCCTGGGGGAATCAAGGTGGCCATTTGCAACATTCACACTTGCCTGAGACAGACATGAGTCTTTTCTCCCACCCTGGATATTTCACAGATATATAAACCTCACTTGTTAAGTTTCCAATAGACCTCAAAAATCTTTGAGGATGCCTGTCATAGTTGTGGGCAAAACGTCAGGAGAGAATGCTTCTGGAACATGGCCGTACAGCCCAGAAAACTCACAGCAAACCAGTGATTCTGGCCATGAAAGCCTTCGACAACACATAATCACTAGGTTTTTAAAAATTTGCATTAATGATGCCATTACTGATGCCTGTGCTCCATCCCTCCATATGTGATTTATGCATCTAATTTTCCTACTATCATGAAAGCATGATGATGGGATGTACTATAATTTTTTTTGTCGTGTCAGGAGCGATTTGAGAAACTGCAAGTCGCTTCTGGTGTGAGAGAATTGGCCGTGTGCAAGGACGTTGCCCAGGGGATGCCCGGATGATTTTGATGTTTTATCATCCTTGAGGGAGGCTTCTCTCATGTCCCTGCATGAGGAGCTGGAGCTGATAGAGGGAGCTCATCCACCTCTCCCCGGATTCGAACCTGCGACCTGTTGGTCTTCAGTCCTACTGGCACAGGGGTTTAACCCACTGCACCACTGGGGGCTCCTGTACTATAAAGATATAATAGCAAACACTGCCCCCCTCCCAAATCAGACTAGAGAAGTAATATAGTCCATTTGAGAATCGAAAGTGATCTGGGGCTGCTTTGATGGAGGAATAACCTGGCAACACCCACATCAAACACAGTAATGGATTGTTCACAGAAGAAAGGGATATGAGATAGCCACACCTGAACTGGTTACTGAATAGTTTGGAGAAGGATGCTCATGAACAGATTACTTTCAATGTGATAAATACCTCTTCAATGACTCTGCAATGCAACAATGCCTGGAGAGAAATGATGACACGTAATAAGGCTGAGGCAAATACAGGGTGAATGTATCACTTTGATGGTATAGCAGCATGAAATAATAATGCTCTAGTTCATTGCTGCTCTCCAGGATTTCAGCCAGAAATCTTCCCCATGACAGAGATTCATTAAGTTGAAATAGCTAGTGATTGAACTGAAACCCCTTATTGTGAAATAGAGGAACATTACTCCTGAGTCATGGTCTCTTACCCAGGAGCTGCAGTGGCTCAATGGATTAAACCCTTGTGCCGGCTGAACTGCAGATCTGAAGGTCGGAGGTTTGAATCTGGGAGACAGGGTAAGCTTCCGTCAGCTCCAGCTTCCCATGTGGGAACATGAGAGAAGCTTCCCACAGGATGGTAAAGTATGTGGGCATCCCCTGGGCAACAGCCAATTCTCTCACATCAGAAGTGACTTGCAGTTTCTCAAGTCACTTCTGACATGGAAAAAAATGGTCCCTTATCAAGTGAGCTTGGAATAGTTATGCTCCTGTCATGATTATGACATGCGTGATCTGATGTTTATTGAAAAGTGGAAGGGGCCTGAGATATACCTGTATCTGTATTAACTGAGGATGTAGTCACTCTACCAAAGCTTATGCTACCTACTTCATTTTCATAGTGAGAGGTCAGCTACATTGCAGAAATATCGTGGTTTGATACCACTTGAATAGCCATAACTCGATCCTTCTACATCAGTGGTTCTCAACCTGGGGTCCCCAGATGTTTTTGGCCTACAACTCCCAGAAATCCCAGCCTGTTTACCAGCTGTTAGGATTTCTGGGAGTTGAAGGCCAAAAACATCCGGGGACCCCAGGCTGAGAACCACTGTTCTAGACACTTCTAGAATTTGGACTGCATGTCCCACCAGTTCCAGCTCTTCTAGTTAATGATGGGTCAAATTATAATCCAGTTTCTCAAAAAGGACAGGTTTCCCAGCTCTTTGAGAAAGGTTCTTGCTGAAGTCTTCTGAAGAGAAAAAGAAATCATAGATTTATCATGCCAAACAGATGAAAAACCCTCCCTCCCAACTTCAATTGTCCTGTCTGCAGAGATAAAGAAGAAAAGGTAGGCATAGCTTCAACATAATTAGGCAGAAAAGCAGATGAAAGGTGGGTCATCCCAAATGCCACTGCCCTGGCCTCAGAAGAAGAGAAGAGGCTGTATTTGTTGGACGTAATCCTCTCCAAGACTACCATCTTCCTTTCCCTTTTGTGCCATGTCTTAATTAGATTGTAAATCTGAGGGCAAGGAACAGTTCTGTGGTCCTTTTATTTGTAGAGTGTCGTTCATGTAAATCAGTGGTCCTCAATCTTCCTAATGCTGAAAACCCTTAATGCAGTTCCTCATGTTGTGGTGACCCCCAACCATAAAATTATTTTTGTGGCCACTTCATAACTGTAATTTTGCTACTGTACAAATGGAAAATAGAGGGAGAAAATGTGGAGGCCGTGACAGACTTTGTATTTCTAGGTGCAAAGATGACTGCAGATGCAGACTGTGGCCAGGAAATCAGAAGACGCTTACTTCTTGGGAGGAGAGCAATGTCCAATCTCGATAAAATAGTAAAGAGTAGAGACATCAGACTGGCAACCAAGATCCGCCTAGTCAAAGCCATGGTATTCCCTGTAGTAACCTACGGATGTGAGAGCTGGACCTTAGGGAAGGCTGAGCGAAGGAAGAGATGCTTTTGAGCTGTGGTGTTGGAGGAAAGTTCTGAGAGTGCCTTGGACTGCGAGAAGATCCAACCAGTCCATCCTCCAGGAAATCAAGCCCGGCTGCTCACTGGAGGGAAGGATACTAGAGACAAAGTTGAAGTACTTTGGCCACATCATGAGGAGACAGCAAAGCCTAGAGAAGACAATTATGCTGGGGAAAGTGGAAGGCAAAAGGAAGAGGGGCCGACCAAGGGCAAGATGGATGGATGGCATCCTTGAAGCGACTGGATTGACCTTGAAGGAGCTGGGGGTGGTGACGGCCGACAGGGAGCTCTGGCGTGGGCTGGTCCATGAGGTCACGAAGAGTCGGAGACGACTGAACGAATGAACAACAAAAATGATTCATAATGTAGGTATCCGATATGTAATATGTATTTTCATTGTTCCTTCACTTTCTCCCTGGGATTTGGCCATGGAGGACCCACTCTACCCCTCTCTAAGCCCTGCCCTTCCCCCAGTCCCCCTCCCTAGCCGCCTCTACCTAGACCACCCTCCCTCACCTTTTCTCCTCCTTCCTCTTCTCTCTTTACTCCAAAGCAAACCTCACCTCCATCTCTCCTGTCTCTTCTTTCTAAAATGGCAAAGTGGGTGGGGCTGAGTGACATCACCACCTCTCTTCAGAGAAAAAGAGGCCTCTGGGAAGCAAAGGGGGCAGGAAAAAGTTAGCGATGTCTTGTTTCCTAAGACCATCAGAAAATATGTGTTTTCTTATGGTCTTATGAGACCCCTGTGAAAGAGTTGTTCGACCCCCAAAGGGGTTGCAACCCACAGGTTGAGAACCGCTGCCCTAAATGATGGTGATGGTGATGATACAGTCAGAATGATGATACAGTCAGAATGTGCCACCAGGGAGCCCCCAATGGCACAGTGGGTTAAAGTGCTGAACTGCTGAGCTTGTTGATCGAAAGGTCGCAGGTTCGATTCCGGGGAGCGGCGTGAGCTTCTGCCAACCTAGCAGTTCGAAAACATGCAAATGTGAGTAGATCAATAGGTACCGTTCCGGCGGGAAGGTAACGGCGCTCCATGCAGTCATGCCGGCCACATGACCTTGGAGGTGTCTATGGACAATGCGGCTCTTCACCTTAGAAATGGAGATGAGCACCACACCCCAGAGTCAGACAT